CCCTCCTCCCTGGTCTCCATCCTGCCACCTCTTCTCTGAGTCTCCAATTTGCCACCTCTTCCTTGGTCTCCATCCTGCTACCTGTTCCCCGTGTCTCCATCCTGACCCCTATTCCCTAGATCTTCATCCTGTCATCTCTTTCCTTGTCTCCATCCTGGCACTTCATCCCTGGGTCTCCGTCCTGTCACCTCTTCCCTGGGCCTCCATCCTGCCACCTCTTTCTTGGTCCATCCTGTCATCTTGTTTTGGGTCTCTATCCTTCCACCTCTTTTCTGGGTCTCCATCATTCTACCCCTTTTCTTGGTCTCCATTTTGCCACCTCTTCCTAGTCTGGATTCTGTACCTCTTTCCTAGTCTCCACTCTTCAACCTCTTCCCTGGTCTCCCTCCTGCCACATACCCAGTATAGTCTGGTCTTCTCAGCCTCTACAACTGCATGAGCGTATCCTTAAAATAATCATCCTTCCCTCTTTCTGTATAGTGCCCTATTGGTTTATTTATCTGGAGAACCCTGCTGCACGTGGGGAATATAATGAAAAATCTCTGCTAAGTCCTAAAGTTTTTACTAAGAGTAAGTTTCTAGGAATAAATTTCTCCTTTGAGAATTTAATTTTTTAAAAAAAGAGCTGATATCTTTTAAAAATACCCTCCCTGCTCTCCTTTACAGGGACAGTGAGAAAACTAGGCAGAAATAAGCAAAGGACTTGCTGGTGGCTCCTAGGTCCCTTTTTTGCCTGTCACATGGTCAGGATTCCACTTACCGTGGACCAGTCTTAGACATCCGCTCCTCATGGTGTCGAGACCAGCCAGCCCAGTGATGGAGGACGTTTGGTTCTGGTTGGAGTTCAGAATGCTTCCAGTTTAAATATGACTCGTGATGAAGTTGACCACAGAGAGGAAATCACAGTCTGGATGCTTTCTTCCTCCGATCAGTTCCCTGGTGAATTTCTCAGAACTCAGAGGTTTGTTTCCAAATATTTGCTTAGTTTGGGTAATAATCGTGCTGAAGATCTCCTGGGGGTGACTCACATCTTCTGAGACAGGAAGGTGGGACACTGTACATTAGAAGCCTCAAGCATGAAGGATCATTCTCATGGTCTTCTTCTGCATAAGGACCTTGGTTCAGAATGAATAGACTTATCTATTTATTACCTATCCCTAGACTTACTTGTGTAACTTACATGAAAACAAGGGTCATGATTAAATATAGAACTCAGGGCTCCAGTAGATGGGGATAGGAGAAGTCAAACAGCCCAAACGTGACTCTCCTCCAGGGCAGGGAGAGAGAGAGTCTATGTAAGCTCATGTCTTACCATTTCCTTTCCACCAAAGCACTGTGTCCCCAGCCTGAGACAAGACTTTGCATTCCCAACACTCACACTTAGAAAGTCTGAGAAGGCAGTTCCCACAGAGCCACCTGGTCCCCACACTACTATTGTTCCTTATAAATTTTAGCAGTATACTTCTCTATTTATCTTTCATAATCACACTGAAAGAAAAATGGGTAGTTGCTGTGAAAAATTAAACTATTCTTTCAAATACCTGGTAGACATCTTATTCTTTTCAGTCTTTATTGTTAAGTTACTAGTGTGCTGTGGGGAATATAATGACAAATCCATACATTGTAAGTTTGAATGTCCCCATCCCCAGGTTATACCAAATTCTGTATTGTTTCCTGGCTCAATTTTATATTGCTAGGCAGAAGTCTCATCTATTATGAATATGATGTGTGCTCTCCCTTATAAGCCCTAAGCCAACTCTTGTAACAATGAAATAATATTAATAATTATATGTACTATTGAAAAAAATTCTCATGTTACCAATGGGCGCTGTTATGTTTAAAATCATTGCTCCTAAACTCAGGCTTTTCACCTTGCATTTATAGAAAGATACAATATTATACTGTAGATATTAACTTGATAATACCATATGGATTATATTTCAACTTGCCTTTCCTATTCAACTTCGTGCATTAGAGGTTCTTTTAAATTAATTTTT